CTTTCCATAATTTATATATTAGTGAAAATATATCGGCAGTTTTACTGCCTATTTTACGGTACTGTTTAGTTTTTCTCAAGCAATCTTTATGGTTTCCTGAGGCTGAAATCCATCGTTACTGCTTATCCTACCCCATAGAATCAGAGATTTTATCATCTGCAGCGTGATATTAATATATTTTGTCATTTGCAATAAAATTCTCAGCTCTTTTTTTTGTGGCTAATTGCATAGATGAGATGAATTTATTTTTGTGGCTTTTGTTTGTCCCTGAAAAAAACAAACAAAAAAAAAACAATTAAGAGGTGGAGAATTTTCTTTTTACATTAGACCAGGGGTGGACAATTCCAGCTCCCCAGCTGTGTTTTAACTACAAATCCCAGCATGCCTTTGCTTCTGGAAGTCATGCCTGTAACTGTCAGTCTTCCAATGCCTTATGGGACTTGTAGTTCCACAACAGCTGGAGGGCCAGAGTTGCTCACTCCTGCATTAGACTAATGTATTTTTCTTAGGTGTATTAAAGCTTCTTTTTCCCGTTGGAGCCTAGTCAATTTTTTATGGAGGTTTTCCCAGTGACAGCTTGTCACTGTTGAGGCATCGAGATCGATGGCCTCTGGGGGTTTTTTTTTCTTTTTTTGATTGGACAGCTTGGACCAATGGCTCTTTACCATTGGTCCAAGCCATCCACAGAGCTCACGCCTCTAACATAGAGTAGAGGTTGTGACAGCTCTTGTCTCACCAAGTTTGGTTACACAGGCAGTGGTGAAGCCCGCTGCTGTGTAACCTAACTACCTGTCAAAAGCCGGACTAACTAACTAACTAACAGGCAGCGCTCCACCCATGACAGGTTACACAGCGGGGGAGGCTTTCCCTGCTGTGTAACCTGTTACAAGCCGATCTGTATGGAGAAAAAGCTGTCAGCTTCAGACTTGAAGCTGACAGCTTTCTCCTCCATAATACTAGGGGATGTCCCGATACCACTTTTTCAAGACCAAGTACAAGTACGGTCCCTCATGTACTTACCGATACAATTACCGTGGGCAGCGGGGGATTTCAGAGTCACAGCCGTAGTCTCTTCTCCCCTCTCGTGCCGACTACAGCGGTCTGTGAAAGGGACACACACCGCTGCAGCCAGCACCAACAGGGAGAAGAGACTGTCCACACATAACACTTACCGCACCCGCCACGCTGTCACACTTCCGTCCGGAGAGGTCAGAGCAGAGAGGGAGGCTGCATTTGGTGGAGAGGTATTCCGGGGGAGGGGCTATGTGGGTCAATGGCCGAAGCTATTTGAAAAAAATGTAAAGGGCCGGCTCTATGTATCGGGGCATTTTCAGGAGTACATGTACTCTTGAAAATGCCCTGTATCGGCCCCGATACCGATACTAGTATCGGGACACATCCCTACTTACAATTTAAATAAAGGGCAGGTAGCAGGAGAGCTGTCTGCATAGTCTCTTCCTGTACATCTTCTTGATTGGAAATGCCATAAGGGGAACAGGGTCAACAGCAACTTCAACAATCCTTCATGGGGGGGGCCCTTCCACCCCCAGGCCATTGTTACACCCCTGAAATCTCTGAGCAAAATGTAAAAAGTCAGTCCTGAACTTTTGTCAATGGCTGAATAATGATTTCTTTCACATGCGGAATTATCATTCACGTTTCTTTCTTTTTTTTTGTGTGTGTGTCTCCTAGAAAATGTAAATCACAATATTTTAAAATCCACATTTCTTAAAAAAACTAAAAAAAATGATGGTTTAAAATGCACAAAATTACTCGGTAATTGTGTTTTGTGCTCTGGTGATTTGTAGGAATCTATCGGAACGGACATAAGGAAATGGTGATCATTTTTATATCATTCACCAAAACAATTGGTGAGCAATACGTAGATGTGTTCTTGACCCAGAGATAAAAGGTGGCGCGTTATCCACTTTAACCTCACATTCAGATTTGGAGCTTTCCTTAAACAAGTCTTTGCTCCCCCAAAATGTTCAAATTTCCTCCTTCTAGGGTGTGAAAACTTTGGACGCTCGTGAAAATATTTACATAACGGTCTCTCGCTCTTCCTCCACAACTTCCGCTGCGGGCCTTTCAGCATCGTAAACTCCGGAGCCGTTGAGATAATCCTCGTCTTTGTTGTACTGCTCCGGTCCTGAGGACGGTATGGAGTTTTCAGAGATTGAGCCGTTCTTGACGTAGCCTGGTAAGTTCCTGTGGCCGTTCAGGGCTGCGGACACGAATCTCGTGTTGAGGTGCAAGGCCAAGGGTCCCCTTGTGGTGACGTTAGTGACACTCGTGTGGGAGACCATAGGTCCATAAGAGTACGTTGTGCTTCCACTTCTGGCTTTCCTCTTAAAATCGAGTGCCAGGGTCCACCTGCTCCAAGATTTCTTAATCTCTGCTTGTACCTGGAAAGGAAAACATATCAGTTAACAAGTTGTGGATACTGGACTTGCTACAAGGTCCAAAAACACTTCATCAAAGTACCACATCCTGTCCTTATCCCTCAGTGCCACTTCTGCCCTTGCAGCAAATTCCTGAATGTCAAAATAACCGGCATGAGTTACTGTGCAAAAACAGACCATTCGACACAGCGTTTATAAACATTGTTCAGATGGGGAGATAGAGGAGGAATACAAAGTAACATTGTTTATAAACATTGATCAGAGGGGGAGATAGAGAGATACAGAGTAACATTGTTTATAAACATTGATATGGGCACCAAAAGGAGGTAGCTTGATTTTAATGCAACATTGTATCATGCCAATGACATTTTAAATGTAACAAAGTCTTCAAATTATCTTTATGTATTAAAATATATTTTTATACAAAGCCATGTATGTTTGATAGACATTTCGTATGGTCTGGACACTTTTAAAGCCCCGCTTTTCTCTATCTTTTTTGTGTACATTTCTAATTGGGGGTGTGGTGCCTATCCCTAATGGTTCAATCTTTATGAGTTAAACTATTGATCAGAGGGAGATAGAGAGATACAAAGTAACATTGTTTATAAACATTGATCAGAGGGAGATAGAGAGATACAAAGTAACATTGTTTTACCTATCACTGATCAAAGTAGAAAAATGTTTTGTTATGTTTTTGTCTACAGATTGCATAAAAAGTTTGATTTATTTCTGCAAGATATCACCATGAAAAGTTTGTTTGTCCTAAATACGTATTACTTTGTATCCTCGAGTAATGACAATGTTATTCCTGAATAAACAGGAAGAAATGTAACAATTGCTGTAATCCATATGTGGTCGGTGAGGTGGAACTGGATTGGTCAAAAGAGGAATCCTAGGCCAAAGGGAACCCTGTCTGTCTGTCTGTCTGTACCTATGGCAGCGGTCAATGACAACTTCTCTGTAAGGCTTGGTTCACACCTAGGCGATTTATCGCGTGGATTGGTTCGTGTGATATCGTGCAAAACACAGATTCACATTGAAGTCGATGGAGTCTGTTCACACCTTTGCGGTTTGTCGCACGAAAAGGTGCAGGAGCGATTTTTGGGGCGGTTGTCGTGCGGTTTGGATCCCATAGACAAAGTTCTTATGCATTGTGGTTTTCAATGGACAATCGCGCGAAAACAGCTCGGCATCTGAATCGCCCGGGTGTGAACCTAGCCTAAAGACACAAGGTTTGGGGTTGTCTCCCCTCCTCTTGTTCACTACATGCAGGCTGCGAATGCAGACTCCTTATTCTGCAAGCGCTAGTTTCTTGGCTGCCATGTCCATCCTCTGGCTTTAATAGTTTGAATCAATAGTCCCGAACAAGAGAAGGACTTGACTTGACTTTGACTATCCATGTTTGTCCTGGCTCAGTGGCGCTATAACAAGAGGATCATCACAACAGCCAGGCAACCAGCATTTAAAAAGGGGGGGGGATCAGCAATGTCCCCCCCCTCCCCCCCATTACATATACATTGTACTAATTATTAGCCTTATTAAAATGCATTTGCACCGCGCATGTCTGAGAGGCAGGTCGGTTTTCCTCATTTTGCACGCAGCTACCGTGTATTCTATGATCGCGCTCTCTCCTTTTGAACGTTTAATATATACGTTTGGATTTCAGCACAAGCCAAGTCTCATGTAACCCTCCGGGACGCCTTTGAAAATGAGCAGATCAAGAGGCGCTTCGAGAAAGATACGGTAAACATTTAACCCGAGGTGAATTCCTGATATAAAACTTCACGAGTCATTATAAAATCACACATGTGAGGGTTCCTGCGGGGATTACAGCGGTAACGTGCCAATATCACCTCCCCTTCCCCCCCATCCCTCCAAATTAAAATGTATCACTTACCTCCCCATTGCAGAAGCAGTATATGATAGCAACAAAAAATCCCTGCAAGCAACAAAAAGGGGATCAGTTAGACAATATATACTGTATGTACATGTGAATAGTTATCAAATAACAGAGGCACCACAAAGAAAAAGGAGGATAATGAGGCTGATTAACGTCGAGAATCTTCACACAATACATTGTATAAGTATTCACTTCAATTATCCGATCATGTGACAAGCAAGTTCTGGTTTCCTTATCTGATCTGCACATGATCCGGTGTTCCCAGTGAACAGGAATTTTCTGTTCCCATGATTGGTTAGCTGAAGTGAATAGTTACACAGTTTGTTGCGTGAAGATTTTCAACTCCTTTAGTACATCATTGATCTAAGACTGCGGGGGGGAAAAAAGATGCTTCCCGCACATCTTGCCCATTGGATTTAAATTGTAACCTTTATTCCGTATTGTTTATTGTGTTATTATTCTTATTGTATAAACTTATTGTTAAAATGACACTGAACTCGGAATTCAATCTTAAAGATACATTCCAGTCCCTGAACTCTGAACAACAATGTATCTTATTTGTGTATCACTCGGCTGTAGATCTTCCAATCATCTCTGACACTGTCCTTCCTTCTGGAGGGTGACTACTTCTGCTCCCCTTGGGGCCTGTGTGTGCTGTAAAGTAGTCACCGCTCCAAGCTCCCCCCCGGGATGGACTACAATCTCAATACAAATTATTAAACTAAACATGATATTGTAGTCTATGACGGGAGCGAAATTGGAGCGGTGATTACTTTACAACACACACAGGGACCATGGGGAACAGACGTAGCCCCCCTCCAGAAGGAAGGACAGTGTCGGCACCAATTCAGAGATGATTGGAGGATCTACAGCCGAGTGATACACACATAAGATACATTGAAGGGAATTTATGAAAACCGGAGCAGACAAAATCTGGAGCAGCTGTGCACGGCAACCAATCAGCCTCTCTCTTTCATTTTCAAACCTTGACTGGCCAAACTGAAGATAGAAGCTGATTGGTTACCAACTGCTCCGGTTTTCATAAATTCCCCCCATTGTTGTTAATATTTCGGGTACTTGAATGTATTTTTAAGATTTAACTCCGAAGTTTTAGGCCTTGTTCACACCAAGCGCGGAGCAGGTGCAGAGCAGATCAGTTGCAGAATAAAAAAAATTTAAAGCCAAAAATGTGTCAAAAACACATGTAAAAGACCAGCGTGCGTGTGCAGAAACCTGACCGGATCTGCTCTGCATTTGGTGTGAACAAGGCCTTAGTGTCGCTTTATATCTCCGTTGCTTCCTGCACATCTTGCCCATTGGATTTAAAATGTAACTTTTATTTCCGTATTGTTTACAATGTTATTATTCCTCTTGTGTAACTTTAATGTTAACATCTCCAATTGCATGTGGACTTATTTCCAAAAGCAACATTACGTACAAACCAGGAATATGGATATTCTCTATATCTTTCTATTATCTCCTCTATATTACTATCTATCTAATTGAATCTCCTCCTGTCTTGTAACTCCTAGATTTCCTTCTTCCTCTATTTCATTATCTTTCCATCGTGAATATACATGCAGCTGATCTATAGGCTTTCCTCGCATATCTCTTTAGCACGGGTCCCTTATCTTCCAAATACTTCCATCTTTTTCCCTCTTTCCCGCAGTGGGAGAGAATATTGAGAATATCCGTATTCCAGACATCAATTTATATACATACTCCGATGAGATTCCTCCGGTGCTATATTAGAAGGAGATCAGTATTATGGAGTAGTAAGGAACATTATTTGATATACCTCTCATGTATTTGTCATATTGTATTCAAAGAAACAACACATCAAAAGGCTTGTACGTGGGAATTACATCCGCAGAATAGACACATATTTGGTATTCCTACACAATCTGCTATTTCTTTATGACCCCATGGGGTAGCTAGACGGATGACGATTTCTTTTGATGGGGTAGAGCGGAAATTTTCTACACGTTTGGCTTCTTCAGGAATAATCATTCACATGCATGGTCAGGGACACCACCAAGACGCATCCCGCTACACACCACCATTCTATATAAGAAAGTGAGGCATACACAGGAGGTCGCCCCCTCATCCCCACCATGTTCCCCTTTCCATGGAGAGCCTTCTACTTTGTCATAAGGATAGTGTAGTTGCCTGTAGCACATTGATCACTGGGGGAGGATAGACTGAGAAAATTATTCTTCCTGCCTGCAGCAGACTGATCACCGGTAGGGGGGGGAGTGGGGAAATGCTTCCTCCTGCCTGCAGCAGACTGATCCCGGGGGGAGGGGAGACTGAGGAAATGCTCCCTCCTGCCTGCAGCAGACTGATCCCGGGGGGAGGGGAGACTGAGGAAATGCTTCCTCCTGCCTGCAGCAGACTGATCACTGTGGGAGGGGAGAGTGGGGAAATGTTTCCTCCTGCCTGCAGCAGACTGATCACAGGGGGAGGGGAGACGGAGGAAATGCTTCCTCCTCCCAGCAGCAGACTGATCACTGGGGGAGGGGAGACTGAGGAAATGCTTCCTCCTGCTTGCAGCAGACTGATCACTGGGGGAGGGGAGACTGAGGAAATGCTTCTTCCTGCCTGCAGCAGACTGAAGACATCATCTCAGCCTAGGCAAAGTCACAGACTGGAGCCTTTTAATAAGAGGGAACATATAAAGCAGTTATACTATCGGTGCATATTATAATGTCGGGAGTTCGGGGTGCAGACACGTAAGTTGCTGAAGGGTCCACTTTAATGGCTCACTATTGTGCAGCTCTTAGGAGGTCCCAGACCACCAAAGTGGAATTACGTCATTCGCCCCCCCCCTGCGAGATCCTCGTAGTCCTCCAATTAGAATGATCGTCTTCATCAAATGCAGAAGTTTGTTTCTTTGTGTTATCGGAGTAATCAGAAAAGCTGCAATATAGAATTATCTCAGGCAACAAACACGGCTCACGTGGCAGAGAACTTGCGCCAGGAATAAGCCGAGACGCCATTATCTGATGTCATTCCCCTGAATAGATGCGGGAGAGCGAGCCAACGCTTCGCCACCGCTCATCTCATCTTCACCTCCTCGTCAGATCCTGGGGACTAATTGTCGGATTTATCGAGCCGCGGACAATTCATCTCGCCCGTCTATTGTACGATGACCCCGGGCAGAGCTGACTGCAAACGTTGGCCAACCAGATTGTCTCCTTCTGACTCATCCTGTAGACTGAGCCGGGCAGAATTTATTGGCCGCGTGGATTTTTTTCCAATGACCCGGAGAACGCTGACTGCAATGTGAGCAGATTGCCCGCTTCTGAGTCATTCAGACATCACACCAACCTGGTCATTATTACTTTGTATCCATTGGAAACAATCCGGATACATTGTGGTTTGGATTCATATTCAAAGTATTCATTTATTTCAATTCCTTTCTACAGGCAACCAAAGAACCACAGAGTCTCTTCAAGGGATGAGGACGGGGTTCAGGGGTCCGGTGTTCTATCAAAGATTGTGACTGCGTTAGAATGAGTGACCGCTGACGTGGTCACACATTTTAACATAATTCCGCCCAGTTTTTCGGCGGTGGAACGCGTGACCGGTCACGTGATTACGCATTTTAACAGAATCACGCCCATTTTTTTCCGGCGTTAAAATATGTGACCGGCAATAGGTGTAGAATTCAAAGCTTTCTCAGCGGTTCCAGGGCAGATCGGCATCGCAGATGGTATGTGCAGGAGAACCGTTCTGCCCTGGAACAGCTGATCAGTCCTGAAATCTCACTTCTATCCGACTTTGTGGAATGTCGGATCACACTCACAGAGTCGGATAGAAGTGACATTTCAGGACCGATCAGCTGTTCCAGGGCAGAACGGTTCTCCTGCACATACCATCTGCGATGCCGATCTGCTCTGGAACAGCTGAGAAAGCTTTGAATTCTACACCTTTTGCCGGTCACATATTTTAACCCCGGAAACAATGGGCGTGATGTTAGAATGTGTAATTACGTGACCGGTCACACATTCCAACCCGGTCACAATCTTTGATAGAACACCGGCCCTTCAAGGATTTACTAAGGGGTCTATTTATAAAATCTGCATAGCTATGTGTCCCGCGAAACCTCTTGGGGTACTTACCCTTCTGGTAGAACATTCTTAGAGTATGTTCTCCTCTGATTGAAGGTTTGTAGGGTATTTTCACTTCAGATCGCATGTTCTTAGGGTTTTTTTCTATTCTGAATAAATGTTCTTAAGGATTGTCTCCTCTCATTGAATGTCTGTAGGGTGTTTATTCTTCAGATTAAATGTTATTGGGGCATTTTCTCTTCTAACTGAACATTCTTAGGGTATTTACTCTTCTGAATGAATGTCCTTAATGTATTTTGTTTTCTGATGCAATGTTCTTAGAGTATTTTCTCCTCTGATTGAATGTCTGTAGGGTGCTTTTTCTTCTGATTGAATGTTCTTAGGTTATTTTCTCTTAGGATTAAATGTTCTTACATATTACATTCAGTACGGCTTATATATGCCAGAACTCCATACAATAATCCATACAGTAATGGCTGTTAACAATAGTTACATTCTAAGAACCTTCAATTGGACAACAATGAAAGACAGAATTCTCAAACTTAATGACAAAGGCGCCACATTTCTACCATTGACATAGGACCACCATTCCTTCCACAGACAACAGGACCACCATTCTTCTCATCGACACAGGACCACCATTCTTCTCACTCACACAGGTCCACCATTCTTCTCACTGACACAGGTCCACCATTCTTCTCATCGACACAGGTCCACCATTCTTCTCATCGACACAGGTCCACCATTCTTCTCATCGACACAGGTCCACCATTCTTCTCATCGACACAGGTCCACCATTCTTCTCATCGACACAGGTCCACCATTCTTCTCATCGACACAGGTCCACCATTCTTCTCATCGACACAGGTCCACCATTCTTCTCATCGACACAGGTCCACCATTCTTCTCATCGACACAGGTCCACCATTCTTCTCATCGACACAGGTCCACCATTCTTCTCATCGACACAGGTCCACCATTCTTCTCATCGACACAGGTCCACCATTCTTCTCATCGACACAGGTCCACCATTCTTCTCATCGACACAGGTCCACCATTCTTCTCATCGACACAGGTCCACCATTCTTCTCATCGACACAGGTCCACCATTCTTCTCATCGACACAGGTCCACCATTCTTCTCATCGACACAGGTCCACCATTCTTCTCATCGACACAGGTCCACCATTCTTCTCATCGACACAGGTCCACCATTCTTCTCATCGACACAGGTCCACCATTCTTCTCATCGACACAGGTCCACCATTCTTCTCATCGACACAGGTCCACCATTCTTCTCATCGACACAGGTCCACCATTCTTCTCATCGACACAGGTCCACCATTCTTCTCATCGACACAGGTCCACCATTCTTCTCATCGACACAGGTCCACCATTCTTCTCATCGACACAGGTCCACCATTCTTCTCATCGACACAGGTCCACCATTCTTCTCATCGACACAGGTCCACCATTCTTCTCATCGACACAGGTCCACCATTCTTCTCATCGACACAGGTCCACCATTCTTCTCATCGACACAGGTCCACCATTCTTCTCATCGACACAGGTCCACCATTCTTCTCATCGACACAGGACCACCATTCTTCTCACTGACACAGGTCCACCATTCTTCTAACTGACACAGGTCCACCATTCTTCTCAATGACACAGGTCCACCATTCTTCTCACTGACACAGCACCACCATTCTTCTCACTAACACAGGTCCACCATTCTTCTCACTGACACAGGACCACCATTCTTCTGACACAAGTCCTACCACTTTTTCTCCTGCAGACCAACATTGATAATAGTTTCCTTCCACTGACCACTAACACAGGGGCATTTTATTCTCCAACAGAACACTGACACCAGGGCATTTATACCTCCACTGACCACCGACGTGAGGGTATCCCATTGACCACAGCTTAGCCCTCAAACAATGGGACAGACGGTGAACTTTTTGCTTAAAAAGCTTGGGGACCCCTAATGAAAAGCCACCAACTTCTCCCCACAATATATGCAAATAATAAACAGAAAATATATGATAAGTGCTCATCATTAAATGATCTCTCCACTTCCTTTTCGTTCTTTTTAAATTCCACCACCTCCTGGATTCACTCGGCACTCTCCGGATTAATTGGATCTTTTAATAAGAAGTTTGTACTTAGCCGGACTTTACATACAGATCAGCAGAGCGGCTGATGCGGTAACAATGAAAGCAATTACACGCCAACTGGCAGGAAGGGATTCGATTTGTTGATACACTTTAGCATTGTTATATATTGTTGGTGGAATCTCTCCGCCCCGATCAGCAGCCATTGTCCTGTAATTGAGGGGTTCTGCCTTCTGCCTCAATCACTCTCTGGGTTCATCATTATTATAAACACGGAGCGGGCTAATTCTATACTATTATGGCTGCTAATGTCAGGCAGGTGGCAGCTTCTGATCACAAGATCGGGGTTAGGGTGGCACAATGATGACTGTTTGCAGCTGAGCCCACGATGTATAGAGAAGGATGAAGATGAACAAATAAAAGCTGATGGTAAAAAAAAAAAAAAGGAGTAGAATAATGAAAGTGTTTAACCAGTTCGACTATTGGTTGTATTGACCCTTCAGAATTCCTTCAGAACCAGCGCTGACCCTTCAGAAACTTTATACAGTAAGTCTGCATGGATATACTTCTCATTCTCCCCTTCCCCAGTGATCAGTCTGCTACAGGCAGGAGGAAGCATTTCCTCGGTCTCCCCTCCCCCCAGTGATCAGTCTGCTGCAGGCAGGAGGAAGCATTTTCTCAGTCTCCCCTTCCTCAGTCACCAGTCTGCTGCAGGCAGGAGGAAGCATTGCCTCAGACTCGATCAGACCCCAACATTGTAACTTTGTAGCAAGTCACAAGTTGAGAGGCTGCTGCAGGGGGCTGATCTGTCTTGGACATTTGTGAACACAGTCACAGGATTTCCACCATGTGCCATCTCTGAGCCGGCATCTCAGTACAGGCAGTAGATGGTGACCCCGGATGATGCCTGAATAAAGATGAAGACGTTTTTTTGGAGAGAACAGAATTGTCAGGGTGAGAACTGAGATCTCTGTGTGAGGTAATAAATACCTGGAAGTGTTACATTGACACATCAGCATGCTGCACCCACCATGATAAACATCTCACGTTAGCTCCATTTTGTATTAGAACTCCAGAGAAATCCTTTCTTTAGTTTTGGAAAAGGTAGGACAGGGTAAGAACCACTGACAGATTTTTACTACTGCCTGTGTCACCTCTCCTCACTTCCTGTCTTGATCACAGCATTGTCAGTGGGACAGGAAGAGAGAAATGAAATCTCCCCTTGAGGCAAAGTTACCAATATACTGAGACGCCTCAGCTGAAGCGGATCCCGACAATTGTGCCGGGATCCGCCCAGCTGCGTGACTGACAGCTGGCTCTGCCTATCTAGAGGCAGAGCCAGCTGTACCCGCCCCCTCCGCCAGTCCGTGCTGGCGGATCGTAGCAGGGAGGGGGGAATCCAGCCAGGATCGAGAGGTGACAGGATCGAGAGGTGAGCGAACGCCGGTATGTGTTCGCTCACCTCCCGATCTACTGTGCCGACCTGTGACAGTCTCATTGTCACAGGTCGGCTAGAACTATGAGGTGAGTGAAAAGCACGCCCCTCATACTTCTCCTTTAATTCAGCCGAAGCCTTGTTAGAAACCTTAAAGTCAGTGTTCTGCTTTAAACCTGCCTAGTAAGATGGGGTCCCGGTCGTGAAAGAAAGCGTATATATGAAAACTTTCTTTTTAAATTCAACTATTTTGTTTCTCTCTTTTACCTTTTTCTTTCTAAAGAAACAAAGCCGTGAACGAGTATCAGGCTTCAGCAAGACCTGTAGGCGCATGTGCAGTCAGAATTATGACAACTACAAAGCATATAAAGCAGTGTGCTAGATAACAAACTTTAGAAATTGATTTAAGCTGAAACGTGTATCGGTTTGAACTCCTCGCATGATCAGGCTAAACGAAAAGTGCATTTATCTTATACAACAAATAATCTGCTCAAGACACTGAGGGGAATTTATCAAAACTGGAGCAGATGTGCATAGCAACCAATCAGCTTCTCTCTTCAGTTTATTCAGTTAAAGAAGAACTATGGGGTAAGTGTTTTTCCCCATAGTTCTCCTCAGGGTCACGGGAGGACACAAACTAGCGTCCTCCCGTGATCCAAAATTCAGTATATAGGGAGCTACAGCTCGCGATATACTGAGACCGCCGCAGCCGGGACGGATCCCGACATTACTGTGGAGATCCACCCTGCTGCGTGATTGACAGCTGGCTCTGCCTATCTAGAGGCAGACGATATAGTGAACTCCAAACAGAGGCATCAACACCAACGTCGATTTCAGCAGCTTCCTGGAATAATGCACAAGAAAAAAAATCAATTTCAATTTGACTTCTAATAATATATTTGGTCCATTTTGTTTTATTCAATATGCCAGACAAAGAACTTTGTTATATCGTTTCAATAAGTGCAAAAAATACCCGCTGATCTAGATGAGCTTGTATTTTGGTTGAAGGGGTATGAGCACAATACAATCTCATTCTCACCCATTTAAGATTATATCCCATAAACCACAACCCAATCTCAGTATTACCCAAGACATTATACCCCATCAATCACAATATAATCCCATTCACACCCATGAGACTATACCCCATCAACCACAATACAATCTCATTCCCACCCATAAGATTATACCCATCAACCACAATACAATCTAATTCTCACCCATAAGATTGTATCCCATCAACCACAATACAATCTCATTCCAACCCATAAGATTATACCCCATCAACCACAATACAATCTTATTCCCACCCATAAGATTAAATCCATCAACCACAATACAATCTCATTCCCACCCATAAGATTATACCCCATCAACCACAATACAATCTCATTCCCACCCATAAGATTATACCCCATCAACCACAATACAATCTCATTCCCACCCATAAGATTATACCCCATCAACCACAATACAATCTCATTCTTCCTATAAGATTATATCCATCAAGCCATTCTGAGCTGCATTTGATCCAGCTCTGGAGGGATCACTATTTAGCACATACACAGAAACCCCTGCAAGTTTGCATGATTCATACAGACTTCTATCTATATCATTATATGGCATAAGGGGACTTGTTATCATTTGAATGGAGACTCATTCCGCACTACATATGGCATCATGACATTTGAATATAATATAGTCAATTATTGCAGTATACGGTTTGTTCCCAGCAACAGGACAATATTATACTCGTTTCAAGTGCACACATTCACTCGGCTGATGCTGGATATTCATGGATAGAGGCGTTCTCAGATGTAACCCTTTATGGAACATTAAAGTGCAATAATCATCCTGTGTACACTCAGCCAGAAATGGTTCTGTTCTTTCAGCTACACAAGAAGAACTCTTTGTATTTTTCTATATTCCTGGCAGTCAAGTGGCCGTCTATACATTTTATTGAACTGCAAATACGAGGACGGATTCTACTGAGATGTACAGATTTATGGCCATGGGCAGAGATATAATCATAAGACTGGACACACAATCTCAATGTCAACACAAATGTGAGATATATACCCTGTTTCCCCGAAAATAAGACCTACCCCGAAAATAAGACCTAGTGTGTTTTTTTTTGAGCCAAAAAAATATAAGACATTGTCTTATTTTCGGGGAAACACGGTAGAGGAGGTGATCTCACCATATTTAGATATTTATCGTTTTTTATTATATTCTTTTGGGGTTTTGAATTACTTTTTCATCTTCACATGTTATGAATATAAGAAAGATGAGGTCATATTAATATTGTATTTGTTTGGCCAGATATCAATCATACTCATGACTGGAACAAATCTGTTATCGAGTTGGCAATAAGGCGTCATGTATTTTGTTATATGTTGATTTGTTGCCCGGAACACCTTTCTGTATATACTCATATGTATCATCTCCCTTCTTTGTTATATCTGCAAGCCCCCTATGTGATAGCACATTGGGGGTGACAGGTTCTCTTTAGGGTGACATTAGGGTTTATTAGACCCATAATGTCACCTTTGCACTTTGAAAAAGCTGACTAACCTCCCTGGCGGTATGATTATCTCAGTATTTTTTCTTTTTTTTCTATTTTTTACTTTGGAATTTCTCGCCGGTTCCGCCCCCCTGCAATGCCGACGCTTGTAGGGAAGGTAGAAAACTAGAAAAAATGGTACATGCATGAATCTATAACCGGCCTTTATAGCAGGGCGCACATTGGCAAGGCTTACAACAATACAAAACACAAAAATTCCAAAACAGAGCGCCATGCATCGTACAGAACGCGGGCCGTCAGACTCACCTGTACTGTTGTCGCGTATCGCATCGCCCTGCGTTGGTCTCTCTCAGTTTGGTTGCTAATACTCTAACAATATTAATAAAAAGAAAAAAGTTCGCCTGAAAGAGAAAAAGAAAAAAAAGTTTGAATGAAATGTAATGAAAACAAAAAGTTAGATTTATACAGATATAAAAAAATTGCATAACGGCATCATGACTGAATAAAAGGAGAGTACTATGGCAGAACTAAAAGCCCAAAAGACCGATCTAGAGAATCAGAGTGGGAGCCCTTATATCTTTTTTTACAATTTACAAAGCTTTTAATATAATAAACAATTTATACGGTTTCTTAAAAGGAGAACTATGGGGTCAGGGCATTTCCCCATAGTTCTCCTAAGGGTAACGGGAGGACACAAACTAGCGTCCTCCCGTCACCCAAAGCTCAGTATATAGGGAGCTACAGCTCCTGGTATACTGAGACGCCGCAGCTGAAGCGGATCCGACAATTATGTCTGGATCGGCCCAGCTGCGTGAGTGACAGCTGGCTCTGCCTATCTAGAGGCAGAGCCAGCTGTACCCGCCCCCTCCCCCGTCCGTTCCGCCAGTCAGCACTCGAGGATCCTTGCAGGGAGCCGCAAGTGACAGTCACGGCTCTCTGCAGGGACAGGATCGAGAAGTGAGCGAGCGCCGGTATGTGTTCTCTCACTTCCCGATCTACTGAGCCGACGTGTGATAGTCTCATTGTCACAGGTCGGATAGAACTATGAGGTGAGTGAAAATCACTCACCTCATAGTTCTCCTTTAAGAGACTGAACAAGAACTTTAACATGATTTATGTGAATTATGTAATTAAGTTGAGCAATATTTGGTAGAGTTTTCTTTTCTTTTTTTTCCCCCCTTCCTTCTACTTCTCCATGAACATATATTGGATTCGGGGGACTATTATAAGAAGGGTGTTGTCATGACAGAAAAGGTGGGGAAAAGTAGGGGAACCCGAAGGGAAAGGAGAGCGGGACAAAAGAAAGCCCCCTTATATCTTAGCCTGTCCACCTAACACACATTCTCTTTAGAGAGTCACCTTCACTCTACAACCCGAATCTAAAGACCCTCATATTAGGGGCCGGTGCTCCTTCTCCTCCTTCTCAAACAGGAAAAAGTTAAGGATTCCGTTCAACTTTAACATCCATCATGTCAATTATTGGACATAATGTCCAAGAACTGTACATGGTGTTCAGCCTCATAGGTGATGATGGAGCTAGACAGCTGGAGCTCTTGGGAGGAGCGGAGAGGATGGTTTAGGTTAGGGATGGCCAAACTCCGGCCCTTCATCTGTGGTGGAACTACAAATCCCATGAGGCATTGCAAGATTCTTACAGCCACTGGCATGACTCCCAGAGAGAGATGCCTCATGGAATTTGTACTTTCACCCACAGCTGGAGGGCCGGAGTTTGGCCACCCCTGGTTTAGGTGATATCTTGAGATGAGGTTGGAGATGTAGCCGGGGGCAGAGTGAAGGAGACTCTCTTCAGAGTGAAGGCGACTCTCTTCAGAGTGAAGGCGACTCTCTTCAGAGTGAAGGCGACTCTCTTCAGAGAGAAGGCGACTCTCTTCAGAGTGAAGGCGACTCTCTTCAGAGAGAAGGCGACTCTCTTCAGAGTGAAGGCGACTCTCTTCAGAGTGAAGGCGACTCTCTTCAGAGTGAAGGCGACTCTCTTCAGAGTGAAGGCGACTCTCTTCAGAGTGAAGGCGACTCTCTTCAGAGTGAAGGCGACTCTCTTCAGAGTGAAGGCGACTCTCTTCAGAGTGAAGGCGACTCTCTTCAGAGTGAAGGCGACTCTCTTCAGAGTGAAGGCGACTCTCTTCAGAGTGAAGGCGACTCTCTTCAGAGTGAAGGCGACTCTCTTCAGAGTGAAGGCGACTCTCTTCAGAGTGAAGGCGACTCTCTTCAGAGTGAAGGCGACTCTCTTCAGAGAGAAGGCGACTCTCTTCAGAGTGAAGGCGACTCTCTTCAGAGTGAAGGCGACTCTCTTCAGAGTGAAGGCGACTCTCTTCAGAGTGAAGGCGACTCTCTTCAGAGTGAAGGCGACTCTCTTCAGAGTGAAGGCGACTCTCTTCAGAGTGAAGGCGACTCTCTTCAGAGTGAAGGCGACTCTCTTCAGAGAGTCGCCTTCACTCTTCAACCCAAATCTAAAGACCCTCATAACAGGGACCGGTGCTCCACCTTTTTTATACAGTTCATACAAAACTAAAACAGGAAAACATTTAAGATCCCATTCAACTTTAACATCCACCATGTCAATTATTGGACATAATGTCCAGGAACGGGACATTGTGCTCAGCATCATAGGTGATGGAGCTAGACAGCAGCAGGTCTTGGGAGGAGTGGAGAGGACGGTTTGGGTGAGATCTTGAGATGAGGTTGGACATGTAGCCGGGGGCAGAGTGAAGGTGACTCTCTTTAGACTTTAAATCTAGAGACCCTCATACCGGGGACCGGTGCTCCACCTTCATCTTTTATACAGTTCATACAAAACTAAAACAGGAAAAAGTTTGGGATTCCGTTCAACGTTGACATCTAGCCTGCCAATCATTGAGCATAATGTCCGGGACTTCTCACTGCACATTGTGCTCAGCCTCATATAAAACAAAAAGGGAACAGAGCGCCACCTCCGTGTGTAAAATCGTTTATTAAGATAAATAAAACAAGGGATAAGTGTACTCACAAGCAAACATTTTCATTACGCTTTACCAACAAACAAGAGGCCCCACTAACTGTTAACCCAACATGGTATCACCCCGACTATGTAACACGGTTGCCTCTGGTCACATCGCTGTCCACCGGCCGCAGTCAGCCAACATTGACGCGTTTCAGGGGCTAATCATCATGATGTGACCGGAGGCAAATCGTTTATCTTAAAGGAGAACTATGAGGCGGGTGCTTTTCACTCACCTCATAGTTCTAGCCGACCTGTGACAATGAGACTGTCACAGGTCGGCTCAGTAGATCGGGAGGTGAGAGAACACATACCGGCGTTCCCTCACATCTCGATCCTGTCACGGCTCTCTGCCGTGACAGGGGAGGGGCTGGATTCCCCCCTCCCCACTCCGATCCGCCAGCGCTGACTGGCGGAACGGACGGGGAGGGGGCGGGTACAGCTGGCACTGCCTCTAGATAGGCAGAGCCAGCTGTCACTCACGCAGCTGGGCGGATCTCGGCATCGATGTCGGGATCCGCTCCGGCTGCGGCGCCTCAGTATACCGCGAGCTGTAGCTCCCTATATATCGAGCTTAGGGTAACGGGAGGACGCTAGTTTGTGTCCTTCCGTTACCCTAAGGAGAACTATGGGGAAAACCCTAACCCCATAGTGCACCTTTAATAAACGATATTCCACATGTAGGTGGCGCTCGGTTCCCTTTTGTTTTTTTATGTTCGTGGTGGAAGCCCCAGAGCCTTGGATGAGCAGCCCCTCTAGTCTGTGTGATAAACTGTTGAAATCTTTGAGTATGCAGCAGCAAGTGGATCGTTCAGCTGGCAGCCATTAGCGCCAAGAGTTAAAGAAAACTGTTTTCTCAGCCTCATAATATAAGTTCAGAAATGTTCTACCTAAAACTGAACTCGTCACTGAGAAGGCAGAAAACTCTTCCAATCCAATCGCGGATCCAAAAACTCAACTAATCCAATCAACAGAAGGTCAGGAAGTCTAAGAAAACACGTTCAATCTCCCCGGGCATAAGTCGTACACCACGTACACGGATGCCGTACAAGTTCCCCTGCTGTAAACACCGAGGAGGACAACATCATCTCCGAGAATGAAATGTTCCATGTGATCTGAAAATGTTCCCTGGCTCTAGACTTCGATGAGCGCACGTTTATGGCCGCGGTTTAATACAGCCCATCAGCTGGTATATGAAGTTTACTTAAAGGAGAACTATGAGGTGAGTGATTTTCACTCCTCCTCATAGTTCGAGCTGACCTGTGACAATGAAACTGTCACAGGTCGGCTCAGTAGATCGGGAAGTGAGCGAACACATACCGTCGCTCGCTCACTTCTCGATCATCTCCCTGCAGAGAGCCGTGACTGTCAGTCACGGCTCCCTGCAGGGATTTCCCCGCTCCGATCCTCCAGCGCTGACTGGCGGAACGGACGGGGGAGGGGCGGGTACAGCTGGCTCTGTCTCTAGATAGGCAGAGCCAGCTGTCACTCACGCAGCTGGGAGGATCCAGACAGTAATGTCGGGATCCGTTCCGGCTGCAGCGTCTCAGTATACCGCGAGCTGTAGCTCCCTATATACTGAGCTTTGGGTGACGGGAGGACGCTAGGTTGTGTCCTCCCGTGACCCTTAGGAGAACTATGGGGGAAAACACTTACCCCATAGTTCTCCTTTAAATAAAAGAAGAAATTGTCCGCAGTAAACATTAATTTATTTATGGTTCCAATAAAAATGTTCTACAAGGTTCTAGTCAAAGCAACAAAAATGTGCACTGCTCAGTACGTGACCGCCACTCATGATAGTGCAAAAATAAAGATGGAGCCATGCACACCGCTCCATGAAGCTCCCATTAAAGGAAGCCAATGTCCTCAGGCACAGTAACAAGCCCTGAAGAAAAAGAAACCACCGAAACGTGTTGGCTCTACACCACCATCTTAACCAGTGTTGGCCTAAAAAAAATTGTATGACCATCTGTATTAGGTTCTCCTCATCAGACACTCAAAGAAATACTTAAAATGATGACTTAATGCACCTAGCCAGCGCACTGCAACACATGAGCATTTTAAAGCATGAGAATGCACTCTTTTTTTTTTTTCAGGGGACAGGAAGAAGCATTTCCTCAGTCTCCCCATCCCCCAGTAACTGTGGAACCAGCACACGATAATCTTCCAAACAAATTCAAACTTTATTCCACATGCATTTGTTCAAAGCACAACCGCTGATGCGTTTCTGCCTCACTTGGCCTTAGTCTTGACTGAGGCCAAGTAAGGCAGAAATGCGTCAGTGGTTGTGCTTTGTACAGATGCATGTGGAATAAAGTTTGAATTTCTTTGTAAGATTATTGTGTGCTGGTTCCACAAGTTTTTGAGCCTATTACTCCGGAAGAGTGTCATCCCAGCAACGAATGTGGAATGCAGGGACGCGTGATGGGGTGAGCTGTGCGCTTCGTGTTTTCAGTCCCCTCCCCTAGTGATCAGACCGCGACATTGTTACTTTGTAGCAAGTCACAAGGTGAGAGGCTGCACCGGGGGCGGATCTGTGTCAGATGCACAGGCACCGGAATTTACATGATTGCGTTATCTCTGAGCCGCCATCTCAGTCCAGGAAGAGGGTGGTGGACCCTGGATGATGCCTGAGCAAAGATGATGCCGTTCTTCTAGATATAAAAGCAGATGAAGGGATTGTCAGGGGGGAGTCCTGCGATCTCTGTGAGAGGTAATAAATATCTGGAAGTGTTACATTGTTTCATATTATTCAGCATGTATGCACTAAGCATGAAAACATGTATCTAATGACAGGTCCTCTTTAGGATGTAACTCCAGTCCATTAGAGATCACTCACCACTGTAGCAGCCAAGATCGGACCTTGTATGATCCATTTTAAATTCCCTGCACTGAGATCCCAGCACCTGAGGGAAGACAGAAAAGGGTTAATTCACCATCAGTGTGACAACATTCAGAATCTTGGGTGAAAGCTGTGTGAAAAAACAGATGAATATACCCCGTGATATTTTGGCACGCGTCGCACCGTTAACAATGCGTAACGATGACGTGACGCAGAGACGGCTTCGAGTTTACAGCTCGGCTCACCTTCAGGTCTCGTTCCCACCTAGGCGTATTGCATATGCGCGTCTGTCGCGCGTTTTTTTAACCGCGATTCGTGGTAAAAAAGTCGCGCGACCGTCGCGCGTTTCCGAAGGCTACTTGGCTGTATCCCAATGGAAACGCGCAACAAAACGGCCCAAAGTAGTACCTGTACCTTTTCAGGCGTGGGCCGTTTTGTAGCGCGTTAGGGACGGGCGGAAATGCGGGAAGGTGGGAACGAGACCATTGACTACAATGGGATTTATATATTTGAGCGTTTTGTAGAGCGTTCGTCGAGCGTAGAACGCGCTACAAAACGTTCAGGTGTGAACGAGGGCTCAGGGCGATCCCGGGACTGCGCGTTCATACGCGATCGTCGCGTGGCCCTCATTGATTTCAATGGGGTTATATTCACACGGCAATCGCTTTTTTTTTTGCGACATGCAACGTGCCGTTTTTTTTTCAGTTGCGATCGTGCGCAATTCCACGGGCGGAATCGTGGCAGGAAACCGCACAATCTGCCTGCCGCGTCTGGGGTGCCATTAACCTACCTGGCTGTCTGATTATTTCATTTTTTCTTTTTTTGTTCTATTTTTTTCCGTTATTTCTTTTAAAATTCCTGCCGGTTCCGCCCCCTCGCGACGCGGACGCTTGCAAGGGACGGATGTCGGCATCGTCCGGAGGACACAGCGCGGCTCGAGGGACAAGGTAAGTAACGCTACGCTGTAATCCCGAGTGTGGCTCGGGGTTTACCGCTTATGGTACTGAAAATTAACCCCGAGCCACACTCGGGAATACCGCCAAGGAGGTTAAAAAGAATGGCACCGCCAGCGCGATCAGCTGAGGTGTGTGATTCCGTGACCGCATGGCCATCCGCACTGTCCGCTGAAGTCTGAGCCGGGCCTCAGTTACTCGTGGTCAGGGCCGGATTTCCCACAAGGCCAACCAAGGCCCAGCCTCGGGGCAGTAGGGAGAAGAGGGGCAGTAGGGAGTAGAGGGGCAGCAGGGAGTAGAGGGGAGTGGAATTCCTATCTTCCGATGGCCGGGACATGCAGTTCCGGGCGGTGGGCGGGTAGTTGTTTTCTACATTTAGCCCGGCTTTGGGCAAGCAGAGCTAAATGTACAGCGGGGAAGCCGCCACTTGTTTTGTATAAGTGATCCCGGCGATATCACAGAGATCACTTGTATGCAACCTGCAGGTCTGCCATTCTCCATTGGGGGGGGGGTTTGGCGGGTAGGGGGGCGTATTGAGGAACCTGGCCTTGGGGCAGCAGAGAGAGTAAATCCGGCCCTTGCTCGCGGTGTTGCAGTAATGTAAATGTATCGATATTTATCAAACACGACACAATGTTACCGTCTATTCAGCCGGAATGTGCAGAGTATGTAATGTTTACCCCGACAATTCATCCTCAGTGTCCTATTGATCAATATTTGTAGAACTATCGTCTCAGAAGCAACAATACGTTATTTTTTTAAAGAATTCCGGGGACAAAAATCAAACACAGAAAGTGATGAGAATATCCAAAAGTTTACAATTTTCACCAAAATAGGGATAGAGGGGAAATATATATTCCAATGGGGACGCATGTTCCAGTGACAACTATGAGGAGCTTCCCCGTCACTTCCTTTTGTGTGTCTGGGACAGGAAATTAAGGAAAATACCCTCTCTCTCTGTCTTTCTCTCTCTATATATATATACTCACAATACATAGCCACAGTTAAGATTATTATTATTACATAGTATTTATGTGGCGCCAACAGTTTGCGAAGCGATTTACAATATAAGGAAGACATTACAGTTACAATACAATTCCAGACAAGATGATAAGGAGGGCCCTGCCCCTGAGGGCTTACAATCTAAAAGGGAGGGGCCAGTAATACATGAGGAGGTAGCTGTGTGGGGATGAATTGTTTGAGAATGTGATGTTTGAGTGGTCAGGTTGAGGTGGGATCGGCTTCCCTGAAGAGATGAGTCTTAAGGGATAGCCTAAAGGCAGTCAGAGTGGGAGATAGACGGACAGGTTGGGGTAAAGAGTTCCACAGAATGGGGGAGACTCTATTAATTTAAAATGAGAATCATATAGCTCATTTTCCTTCAGGCATTGCTCACTGGCATTAGCAATTGTATAGCTGGTTATTATACTGCCACCTTGTGGGCGTTTTGGTTATTGCACCATGTTTTTCTGTGTTCCCTCTCATGATGATGTATTTCCCCCTTCTTTAACAAGTAGTCGTTTAGTGTCATGGCCTATAGCAGAGCCACATGTAATATGCTCGCTTGGAAACATTTTCATCCTTCACCTGCAAATACCGCCTGCTCATTCATCCGATGTAACCTGCTGTGTGCAATAAAGCACTTTGTGATGAGAAGGTATTTGGTGAGTCCAGCTATCTGATAAGGATTGTCCGCCGTGATTATATGTGCTTATACAGGCCAGGCATAGAGGTCACTAATACAACAATCTGAGTCAGAATAATCACTATCTATCTATCTATCTATCTATCTATCTATCTATCTATCTATCTATCTATCTATCTATCTATCTATCGCAGTGAGGCTACCTCAGCACTGCAAGGATTAATTGCTCATTTTGTCTAGGGATGATATTACATCAGATTTACTCACCCAATCCGCAGTCCCGTCGGCTCCCTTCTGCCGGCTAGATTGGTCCCCACAGCCTCTTCTCTGGGAGTCTGAGGAACGCTGACATCATAACATCTTATGCAGATCCATTGACCTGTTTTAGATGTAAGAATGCTGGGGGGCATTCCATAGCTGGGGTGGAGGGAGGTAGAGGTGAGTGCTGACCAAAGCACTCT